GGGGGGGGGGGGCGGGGGCCTCAGGCACTTTGAGTAAGCATGAGATGGGAGGGGCAGCACAGCACAGATGGGAGACAAGTGTCACAGAATGGTGAGGCCAGAACAGTCTACTACAGCTGGTTTCAAATGCTGCTTCTATCACTTTCTAGTTGTGGGATCTCAGGCAAGACATTTAACCTCTTTAAGCCTCTGTTTCCTATTTGTAAAGTAAGGACCCCAACACTACTCAATGCTGAGTATTTCATGAGAAAAGTATGATATAAGCTTGGTACTAATAGTACCATCTTGACCTTCTGAAAGGCCCTCAGGAGAAATGGAAAGGTTTCCCTATTTTAATAACTCTTTGCACCTTAGGAAACAAGTTTTCCATGGTCACCACAGCATGGGAGCCATTACCACTTACACCGGACAGGAAAAACAGTCAAGATCACCATTCTAGTCATTTTCTGGATAGGGCCACCACTCCTCATGGACACTTCCCTTTAGCCAAAGTCTGATCTAGCAGCAGAAACATCTCTTATAATATGCATGCTTCCTAAATTAAAGATGGCAGGTGGGAAGAGGATCCCCCTTCCTTGCTTTTGGCAACATTATTGCATAGTGGTCAAAAACACAGCTTCTGGTGTCAACAGATTTGGGTCAAAGAGCAGCTCTACCACTTAAGAGCTGTGTGGCTTTGCAAAGGTTGTTGAAGGCTGTGTGACCCTCTATAAAGCTATTTACATGTTTTGAGATGATCAAATATTCCTTCTTGATTTTTTTTTAATGAAATGAATGTCACCATTATTCTAATAATTATAGTAACTAATATTTACTGAGTACTTACTCTGTGTCAGTCACTGTGCTAAATGAATTATTTCATCTAATCCTTACACCTACCCTGTAAGTTAGGAACTATCATTACCCCAATTTACAGAGCATGTAACTGAGGTAAAGAGAATTTAAATAACTCCCTTATGTCTCCAGAGCTAACACAGCCTCCCTGTTGAACAGTTCTTATTACTATTAACAGTTGCTGCTCATAGGCAATTGGCGATTCCACTGGGTTATTGCAAAGTACATA